ATCCACAAAAGTTCATAACACCGACCAAAACTACACTTGTTCTAACAACGGTTGGTACACACTCAGCTTAATCCTGCAATAATGGGAACAGAATCAGCCATTAATTCTTCAAAAGCCTCACTTTGAAGCACTCTTCTTTAGCTTTGAAAGCTCACGTCGGATGGAATCTCCTCTCTGTAAATAAAAACAAAATAATAAATAATAAAATGAAGATTTTTGTGAGCTATGAGTGGCATCCACAAATAGTTACGGATAGGGGTGTGAAGGAGAAGAGTCAAGCTCGAGCCACCCATGGCCTGAGCTTGAGCTTGATTAATTTTATCACGTTCCAGTTTGAGCTCGAGCTTAAATCTACGAGTTCGAGCCTGACTCGCGAGCCAGTTTATTTATTATAAAAGAGAAAAAAATATTAATTTAGGATAGTATTATAATAAAATGACAAACAAAATGAACAATTATGAGAGAAATAATAATAAATTACTTGATAAAAATATTTTTAATATTTTAAAGATAAAGTCTTCAAATTTAATATATTTTGAGTATATTTTATATATTTATATATTTTTTAAAACGAGCCAGCTGACGAGCTCAAATCAAGATCGAATAATCGAGCCAAGCTCGAGCGGGCTCACAAGAGACTCAACTACACCCCTAGTTACAAATCCAAGTTACAAAGGCATAAATAGGAAAAAGCTCAAAAAACTGACCTTAATTTTAGCCAACATGACCTTAAATCTATCGAAATCATTCAGTTCAGCTCTCCTCTTTTGCACAATCAGCTTCCTCCCCCAAGAGCTCTTCTCCCATCTATTCTTCACATCTGCAATAAAAAACTACTCATATAAGCCCAAAAAATGTCCATAAAGAATTGTTTGGATTGTAGGAAAATAAAAGAAATAAAATAAAATATCAAAATTATAAATTGAACTATTCAATCTTTAATTTTATTGGGAGCATTTACATACATGCCATGCAATTCCTATGTATTTACATATTGAATATCCAATCTTTGCTTTTTTACATACATTTCAGCCAAATCTTTCCTATCATATAAAAAAATACCACTATTTTAACTTCTAAAAAGTGAAATACATATTTTCATCATGCACAGGTAAGGCGGCAGATGTGTAAAGATTAGTTTAGGGGTTGAATGTGTTAATGCATAGAAATTAAGTGGTGTGTATGTAAATATTTCTTTTGTAGGGAGATTACATACAAACCATCCAATTCCTATGGATTTACATATCTAACATCCAAACTGCTTTTTGATTTACAATCCCACCTAAATATTGCATATCTTATATTAACAACACTGTTTTAACTTTTAAAAAGTGAAATACATATTTACATGCATAAGTAAGGTGACATGTTCATAAAAATTAAAATTTGGGTGTTAGATACATAATATTTAGATGAAAATTTTCCTTATTTTTCTCATTTATTTTCACTAAAATCCCATGAATCCAAACAAAGACTCGAAAGGTTTTCAAATGGTGGCAGACCAGCCGCTTCCATGGCCTCGATCAGTTTGCTCTTCTTGGGAATTCGGGGGATGTCAATCTTGATATCAGTCAGAGACAGCCTCTTGAAGTTCATTTGTCCTCGTACCATGTCAGGAGCATCAACTAAGGCCTGAGATGATAATAACCAACAAAGGATTATCGATAAACATTTACATAAATACCCTAATCAAAGAATGTAATGAAAATTTATATCATTTATAAATCTCATCTAGGGTTGTAAAAAAAGCTCGTTGTACGCAATCAACTCGTGTTCAACTCTTTAAGTAACTCTTGTTCGGCTCGTTTGTTTAGTAAACGAGCAGAACACAAACAAATTTTTAAGTTCAAATTATAAACGAGCCGACACAAACAACCCTTTGTTCGCTCATGCGAGCATGTTTTAGCTCAAAATAAGAATGTATATATATATAACATTTCATTTGGTAATGTAGTTATGCACCTTCTATGACACAAAATTGGTGCATATTTGAATCCAACACCCTACATCTTTTTTTTTTTTCAATTAATTTTAACGAACCAATTTAAAGCTCCAATTAATTTTAAGGAACTAATTTAAAGCCGAACACGAGTTAAGCCTGAGCTTACTCAAGCTTGGATCGTTTACAATCCTAATCTCATCCTTGAGAGTAGTATACTATATAATGTCCAAACTAAACAAAAAGAAGGATACCTACCTAAAAACAAAAGAAAAATTAAAAATCATTATAAACGATAAAAGAATATCACAAATAGAGATATGAAGGATAACAATATGTTATGAACAAGTTTATGTTGCATGCATCAAGTCAATTGAGTTGAATCAAACAAATCTCGAGTTGAAGCAAATCAGTATCAATTTTGAGAGTATTAAAATTCTAAAAATTATTAAACCAATTTTTAGTCATGAACAAGATCAAAGAATCAACAAATGAAACAACAGCCTTCATAAAAGATGGCGAAATATGAAAGCAGGGTGCTATTAATCCTTTTAACATAGATTATTCAAATAAGAAAACTGAAATATATGGTTGAACCAAATTTGATGTAAGATTAGATAATAATTGCATTAAAAATATTGCAATAAAAATTTTAG